AAAAAAGGCCCTGCTTCCAAGAGGCTAACATTCTTCTAAGGGTTTGGGACGGCCAAGTATGTGAAACAATGGAAGGAATAAAAATAAATAAGGGGAAATGAATTTCAAACTGTGTTAGAACCCCTCAAATACTTGAGTTATCAGTCAAGTATGTGTGCATATTTTCTATTTGTTAAATTGGAAGCATATTCTAAAGAGATGATAAAGAAAAATGCCTTTTGCTGATCCCTCTATAACAAATGGATAGAGTACTTTATTTCATAAAACCCCAAGAACAGCCTAAAAGAGATGGAAAGATAAATTTTTTTTCTAACTACCACAAAAAATTACCTTAAAAGCAACTACCTTCCAGGTAGTCTTCCCGGTCTTTCTGTGAACAATAACTATACCCTTCCCTCAAAACTAGTCAAGCACTCTGTGCTTTTATTAGAAAAATAACTGTAACATGTAAAGTGCCTGTGCATTGATCCCTCGGAAGTTTACTGGCTTCTCCTGAAAGCAGAGACAACATCTTAAACTTTTTATCTCATTCTGCTACTAACAATTCTCTGCACACAAAAGGCTTCAAAAATGCTTGAAATTAAAAAACAAAAAATGGCACCACCTGATAAAAAAGAACTATTTGTAATATGAGTGGATAAATGATCAGGATACATATCATAGGTTATCAATTACTTCCCATTCTGTTGTCAGCCCTCACCCTCTTTACTCTTTTCCTTTTCTCTTTTCTTGGCACAGCATCATTTTTGTATTCCTGTTAAGTCTACTTCACTTACTCTTCATTTTTTCATTCATCAAAAATGGACTTTCCAGTTATTCCAAGCCCTCTTCCTTTTTCATTCATTCAAAAAACATTTATTGAGCACCTATTCTATGTCATGTACTATGCCAGGTAGAGGAACATGAAGATAAATACAAGACAACTCCTCTTCTCCAACAGCTGCATAGTGCTTACTTACATTCTGTATTGAGACATACAATAATTATGTGGACAGAAAAGTGAATACAATATAAATACAAAGGAGATATCAATTAATTACTGGGGGGAGCACTATAGACTCAGAAGATTGGATGGGCTTCTAGGACAGGGGGCACTTGAGACAAACTCTGAGGGCGAGAGGAGAGAGCATCCACCCATGGAAGAGGATCTGGGAAAGGTCTAAGGCACAAGGTGGAACATGGCTGGCTGGAACACAGAGGACATGAAGGGGAATAACATATAATAAGCCCGGAAAGCTTGGCTAAAGCCAGGTGGGGAAGGGCTTCAAACACAAGCAACAACAGAGTATGCCAGTCTGGCTGAAATGTGGAGCCAGACTGTAAAGAGCTTTAAAAGCCAACAAGAGGGGCTTCTATTTTATCCTAGAGGTAGTAAGAAGGAGCCACTGGAGCTTTTTGAGCAGAAGAGTAACAAGGTCAGACCTATATTTTCAGGATAACAATTTGGCATTTATGTAGACAATGGACTGAAGATGGGAAAGACTGGGAGATCAATTTGGGAACCACTGCAACAGCCCTCTTAAGACAGAAGTAAGGAATATCTCAACTAGGTGGGAGCCACGTAAGGGGAGAAAGGGGATGACTACAAGAAACACTGTAGACACAGAATCAGCAAGACTTGGCAAATGATTTACATGAGGGGTGAGAGACAAATTGACGAGGACATGAAGGATGCATACCTGAAAGACCAGAAGCAGTATTCTACAAGGAAACAGGTTAAATTAGGAAGCGGAACAGATTTGCAGAGAAAAATGAGCTCTGTTTTATATTTGAAATGTTCTACAGGCAGCTGGTGATAGAAGATATTCTTTCAAGCACAGTTTCAACTACCACCATTCAGAATCAAAAACTCCAAAATCTCCTTATCAGATTAACCTCTTCTAATTTCATCTTTCCCTTACTTGTGCTAAACCTACTCATCATCACTGAGCCCTCTCGCTTTCTCAGGCTATTTGACTCTTACTTTCTGTTTGGTTTTCCAATCTCAACTTTATAGTTAACCAGATTAGCTTTACACTGTCCCTCGGCCCTTGACCCTATCAATACTCATGGCTTAACAAACCTAACCATAGATAATTTCCATCATCTGCCACTTCTTTCCACTCCTGTTCACACACTGCAGAATGGAGATATGCAACATCGCACAACCAAACTGACGCAGGGAGGCCAGCACTCACTTCTCAACTCAGTGCCTTTGCAATGGCTGTTCTAAACACTTTCTTATGTCCTCCTGGAATCACAGATTTAGAGCTGGAAGAGACCTTAGAAGTCATTGAGTCCAACACTCTCTTGCTGGATTGTTGCCTACAAAATTCAACTCAAGTGCCACTTCCTACATTGTCTCTCCTGATCTCTCCAGCTGCTAGTTCTCTTCCCTGACTGATATCTATTTATTTTGTATACACACTGTCTTCTCCAATACAATATAAGCTTCTTGATGGCAAATACTATTTTGTCTTTATACCCAATGCCTAGAATAGTGCCTAAAAAAATAACAGGAGCTTAATAAGTGCTTGCAGATTGATAACTAAAATCTTCAACTCCTCAAACTTCTCATATAAACACCTGCTACACCTCAGATTAATGCACCTCATTTCCCCTTTCTCGAATTAATTTCTCTTCTTAGCTTCCTTTGGTTAATGTTACCACACGTTTCTGGCACAAAAACCTTAGGAATTTTTTACTCTTCAATTCTGTAGGCCCCCTTATCCAAATTGATCATTTTTTTCCTTTATCTCCACATCTTCCTTTTTATTCTCAATGCCAACACCCAGATTACATCAATAAGCTCCCTACTGCTTCTAGACCCCTGGCTCTTCAATATATCCTCAACACACCATGGCTAGGTTAATTTTCCCAAGGTACTTCTTTGACCCCATCACTCCCCCGGTGCTTCATAGTTTACCAAGTCCAAGCTTCATCACTCCTGACAATCTAGCTCCACCCTACCTTTCCTAATTCAACTCTCCACCATGAACCACTCACTCTTTCCAATCTGAACTCTATTTCCCCCCAAATATATATATATGGTACTTTTGCCACTTTCACACATTTGCTCATATCATTTTCTCCACCTGAAATGCTCCTCTTCACCTAGAGAAATCCTAACCACCCTTTCAAGGCCAATTTAAATGCACCCTTACCCTCCTCTTCTCTCTGATGCTTACTCTGATCCTCCAAGAGAAGCAACTCCCTCCTTCCTCTGTACTCCTATTACATTTAATTTGACTATTTATATAGTTACATTCACCCAAATGAGTTGCAAACTAGCTCATTCTATCTTTCCAGGCCAATTACACTCCTCACCACTCTAAAGTTCCAGTCAAATTGCCATACTTCTGTTTCCCATACGAGACATTTCATCTCTCATTCCTGAACCACTGCAGTCTGTCTCCATCTGAAATGCTCTCTCCTTTCCACAAAACCTGGAAGCATCTAGTTCCCTTCAAGGTTCAACTCAAGTGTCACAAGAGACCTCTCCTGACTCCCCCAGATGGCAGTTCCTCTTTTATCCTAGGAGAATGTAAATCCTAGAATGATTTTTTGTCTTCTTATCCTTAACATCCAGTGCAACATCTAGGACATAGGAGGCATTTGATAAATGTTTGCTGAATGAAGAACCACAGTAGAAATCTTGACTTATTTTGTTAATTTCCCATAGCACCTAGATCATGCTAGAACCTTAGAGATGATTCAGCAGGAGAAATACTTTTTAAAAAAGTTTCTTCGCCTATAACCCATCAGAGCAGGAATAGAGAGCACTGGACCTAGGAGTCAGGAAGACCTGAGTTCAAATCCTGCCTCAAACACTAGCTGTGTAACCCTGGACTAGTTCCTTCATCTTCTTTTACCCCCGTTTCTTCAAATGCAGAACGGGGATAACAACAGCACCTACTTCCCAGGACTGCTGAGACAATAAAGTGAGATGTTTGTAAAGTTATCATTATTGTTATTAATCACAGTGGGGGAAAACAATAGCAAGAACCAGCCTTTGAGCAGAATATTAAAATTCCCGCTTGAGAATGGATAAAAGTGGGGAAGGATGCTCAAGACACCTTCTTGCTCCCTTCAAGTCACACCCAAAGCTCCACCTTCTGCAAGACGCCCCTCCTAGTGCCCCCTCCCCTAACCTCAGTGCCTTCACTCAGACCGTCCCCAACCTAGCTGTCTGTACCTCGTCTGCATGCAGTTGTTTGTTGTCTCCCGCTCTAAGACTGAACTCCTAGAAAAAAAAAAACATGTTTTTCCATCCCCATCGCTTAGCACAATGCCTGGCACACAGCAGGCGCATAATAAGTGCTGGTTGCCTTGACAAGTTCTGTAACCTGGGCTGAGACAACCTCTCGCCTCCGCTCGCCGGCGACAACCACGTGCGCGGGCCGGCGGGGGCCCGGCCTGGCTGCGGAGGCCGGAGGGAGCCGAGGGCTGCCCCGCACCGAGGACCGCCAGGCCGCCGTCCCCTCGTGGGGGAGAATGCCGGGTCGGGGTCACGCGGGGGGCCCACGCTCCCACGCCAGACCCGGAGCTGCCGCTCTTACCTTGGACACGGGGCCCGGGATGCGGTACTCCTCCTCTTCCTCTGCCTTCTTTGGCGCTGGAGGGGGCAGTTTGGCCGGCGCTCCGGCCTTTTTTCCCTTTCCTTTAGGCCTCTTCGCTTCGGGCCCCCCTACTCCACGCTGCTTCCTCTTGACAGCCGCCATCTTGCCCGAATTCCCCTTCTTCCGGCCGTCGCACGTTGCATGTTGCACGTTATTCGTTGTTCATCCCGCCTTCCGCTCCTTTCCGCTTTGCCCCTCTCTCCTCTTTCCCGTCTCTATGCCACCAAAAACATTTGAGAGCGGGGGGGCAGGGGGCGGGGTGACAACAGACGCTTCCTCTCTAGTTCAGCCAACCCCGGCTTTACTTTACGGCTGTGGCACTGTGCAGTCATGGAGTCTGAGCAGGCGCAGTCAAAACAAGCCAAAACTCCGACACTTCCGGTCTGCCTTGGGAGCCGGCAGTAGAGCTTCCTTCCAGCCTTGGGGCGGGAAAACTGTTGCACCTGAGGCTGCCCTGGGTCTGGAGGGGCGGAGGGAGCCGAGGCGGCTGAGACGGCTGGGACAGCTGGGGCAGGAATTGATTCCTACCCTACAAACATTTGGGCTGCTTAGGCTCTGAGCTGAGGTTAGGCTGGGGCTGCGAAGACAAAACAGCTCTTGCCCCGGAGGAGCCGGAGGTAGAAATAACACTTAGATGAGTAAATGCACGGTAAAGGGAGGAGGAGGAGGGAGCACCCACCACCGGGAGGGATCCGAAAAAGCTTCAAGCGGAGGGGACACCTGAGCCGAGCCGAAGGAAGAAGCGAGGAGTTGTGAGAGTCGGGGCTGTAAGCATTTCCTCATTGGTTTGTTCTGTTTCCTCTCTCGGCTTGGGGCTGGGATGGAGAGGCCAGTGGAAGGTGTAGACAAAGTCTAATGCTTTATTTACCTTTTACAAGGTCCTAGCGCTTTGCAAAATTTGAAGCGCCATGTAAATACTGGTTATTCTAGGGGAAAGAGATAAGATCTGAATTCAGGTTCTTGGTGTGCAAACTTTGTAACTCTGGCAAGTCGGTTTACAAACATCACATTTGATCCTCATAATAACCCTGGGAAGTAGGTGCTATTTTTATCTTCATTTCATACACTTGACGAAACTGAAGCAGACAAAATTAAGTCACTTGCCCAGGGTCATCTAGCTAGGAAAGTCTTCCTGATTCCAGACCTAATGCTTCATCTGCACTGCACAATCTAGATACCTCTCCTTTATCTGTAAAATATGATGTTTGGACTAAATGACCTCTAGGAATCATTCCAGCTCCAAATCCTATGTTCCTTTTGCTGGGAATGGGGAGAACTTGCCTAGGATCCAGGCTTTGACACGGCTGAGGTGTGTTTTGGGACAAGTCACTTCCCCATCGTGAACCCTCACCCCTTTTAGTCTTTTGTGTAAAACTTATACTATCATTAGGTACTTTGGAGTAGCGTATAGAGGACTAAGCTTGGAAGTCTGGGAGACCTAGGCTCATATCCTCCCTTAGAAACACATCAGCTAAGTTAACGTGGGCAAGTCATTCAACTTTTCAGTGCTCCAAGCAGATCTCTACAATTATAAATTACAAATTAGTTGTCCATCTGCATCTCTAGAGTGATTCTGCACACCAGGACTTCCTTAAACTATTGAATTCACAGGTCTGGCTCTCCTTCCCCCTCTCCCCCAAAAAAATCTGGGTTGTGATTGTGAATCATGTGAAAATGTTTTAAATGTGAAGTGATATATACATTATTTTAGTCTTAGAAAAGCCCAATGGGAGCAAGTTAAACAGGGCATTTTTCAGGAAACATCCTCAAGAGAAGTGACTCCCAACTTCACAAGTACTTTAGTGGCAAAACTCACACTTGAGTACAGGCCCCTTGATTTCTAGTCTAGTAATGTTTCCATTACACGTTTTTTTCTCCTGCAGTTGGAGGGCGTGGAGTGAGATCTAAACAGTTGTGCTTGGAAAAAGTATGTTTTGCTAAGAAAACCCAAATTGGTTGACATTTTAAAAAATCATTGGGGGGGGGTAATACAACTAAAGCAATTTTTTCTGGAGTCACTAAACTCAATTTAACATTTATCTTTCTTATAGGTTGCCAAGAGAGACAACTGGTTAATCCCAGTTTAAATTAGAAACACCCAGTGGAAGGAACCTTATGTGAAACGGAAAATGCCCCTTTCTACACAAGCTGAAGATGGGAATGATCAATATATTTTAGTTGCCAGCCTTGACAATGTAAGGAATCTCTCAAACATATTAAAAGCTATTCATTTCAAAGACCATGCAACCTGTTTTGCGACAACAAATGGAATCAAGGTTACAGTGGAAAATGCAAAATGTCTGCAAGCAAATGCATTCATTCAGGTATGGATGCAAGCGTGTTATTTCACTGTTCCTTCTGCATGTGTTGGGAATGGGTCATCTGTAAAATTGGTACCAAGGAAAGAGCACTAAACTTGGGAGGTGAAAGTCCCAGCTTTAAGTCTTTGTTCTGCCCCTTAACTAGCAAGTCATTTTATTTCTCTGTGCGTTAGTTTTCTCATCTTCAAAATAAGGGGTGTGGGTTTGATGACCTTCAAGTGCCCTTCTAGCTCCTCATCTATGATCTACAAAATGAGGGTGTTGGAATAAGTAATCTCTTAGATCCCTTTCAATGCCAGTATTGTAGGAATCCTACATAATATTCACAGGCTGAAATTTGAAGTTAACTGAAAGGATTGTCCCAGTTCTTTCTCTGTCCTGTATTGTTGATTGTAACACTTTTTGAAGTATCTAGTTATTAGGTAAGCATAAGTATCTTTGTTTTATGGAAATTTTGCTTATGATAGGTTTTGTGGCATGTTGGCAATCAGAAGAGAATTATTTATTTTTACGGATGAGGGTCACATATAGTAAATAACAGAGCCTAAGCAACCTCTTTTGTGTTTAAGGGCTCTGCAGAAAGAGTTGATGCCTCCAAGATCTTGGTTGGGCCATTTTTGTTTCAGGAAGGTAGAAGAGAGAAGTACTTTTTAGCCTGGCAGCCCAGAACTTAAATTTGTGCAATGATTTTGGGATATTGGTATTCAGGAATCTAATAAATGCAAACTAAGAAGAATCAGAGTTGTTTATAAGTTTAAAAATCGTCTAGTACAACCCCCTAATTTTACAGATGAGGAAACTGAGTCCCAGAGGGGTTATGTCACTTGCTCAAAGTTTCCTAGGTAGTAAGTGGCACAGCCAAGTTGATCTACTTTGAAATACATAGAAGGTGAAATCTTTGGAACTATATACAAAGTAGTATAATTCATTAATATAAATGGCCATATTTATATTTATAGACTTCTCTTTTTACAGGCTGGAATATTTCAGGAGTTTGTTGTTCAAGAAGAATCTGTAACATTTCGAATCAATTTAACAGTCCTTCTAGACTGCTTGACAATTTTTGGTTCAGCTCCTTTGCCAGGTATATCATTGTTACTGTCATTATATAATAGTGTGAAGGCATCAAGAATTCATCAATTCAGGAATGATATTTAGATTTAGTTTTCAGTTTGGGAGTTCATTACTTAGAAGTCAATGGTGGGTTTTAAAATTTTAGAATTTTTTAAAAAATATCAGGTGTTTTTATGACTAATATATTTGCAGAGGTAATTACAATCTTTTAAAATATATTAGACAAGGGGCAGCTAGGTGGTGCAGTGGATAGAGCACTGGCCCTGGATTCAGGAGGACCTGAATTCAAAGCCAGCCTCAGACACATAACACTTACTAGCTGTGTGGCCCTGGGCAAGTCACTTAACCCCATTGCCTAGCCAAAAAATATATATATATATATGTATATTAGACACTCAGGAATTAAAACTGAAATAACCAAAAAACTTGAAAACGGCCAAGATTTTTAACCTTATGGAAGTTATTTGAATAGCTTAATTCTAGCCACATTGTTGTTATAATGTACTTTTTAACATTATTTTTAAATATGCTTATGGTTGGTTGTTTTTTTTTAAAGAAACCTTTTAATAATTTAATACATTTTCCTGCACTCTAAACTTTAAAGTATTAACCTCCACTTAGGTTTTTGGAGTTTTAAAGAAATGGTAAAAATGTAAAATGTTGTAATTAATTTGATGTAGGTGTGAAATCACAAAAACCCTTCAGAATTATTTTACCCCCTGGGACTCTTGGCAGGGTGAATTTTTTTAGCTCTATAGCAGCTTAGCATTGTTATTATTACAACAGCCCTGTAGGAGTGGGTTAGGCATAGGACTTTATAATTAAGTGAAAATTCTATTGTATTACAAATAAACATTTAGCATAAGACTCGCCAACACATTGGTCGGTTGTGGTTGACTAGGCCCCCCCATTATGTGCACTTCCATTAGTTCCTGGGAATTTTCAGGCTCAAAGGGCTTCTCATTTCATTATTAACCATTATTATTCATTATTAACCATTATTAGCCATTGTTAACAATGTCATTAGTGACTAAGATTGTCAACATCACTATCCCCTTGGTGATTGATTGTGTTAGAACCTCTAGCACCTTTTGGGTAGAATTGTGATTGTTTTCCGGCACATAAAAAGTAGCTTCTCTAAATAAAGTTATATTTCACAGGGTGAGCTCTGGGTGCTACTGTATCAGAATATTTATATAATGTGTGTAAGTCATGTGCACTCAAATAAAATGGAACCAAGTCTTCAACTGTTCTGCAAACTACAGTATTTGTACCTACACTTTTAAGACAGTGTACACTATTTCATTCTGGAATTGTTTATATTTGAAGTCAGAGAATGATTTAGTAATCTCAGAAATAGACCTAGAGATCTTTAATACATTTTTTTCTTGTCATTGTTGCTATTTCTGATTTTTGTTTCTGTTTTTTTATGGGCTAAAAATATTAGAGTAATTTTAGTAATCACTTTAAAGAACTCCCAGTGAGGAACTTCCCCTACCATTGCAAATTGGTACCTTCTGTGCAGCTTACATTCTTAAAGACATTGAGAGGTTAAGTGACTCACCCAGCATCACATATCCAGTATATGGCAAAGGTGTTGAACCTAGGTCTGCCTTCCTCCAAGGTCAGTGCCCTATTCACTACACCACAGTGTCTCTGCAAAAAGAAAAAGAAAAAAATACATATAACAGTGATTAATAGATAGATAAATAAGACTACTACTTAATGAGTTTTATTTGTGGTCTGCATAGAAACTGAACCTAAAACCACAAAAGTAAGCTCAAAGAGTGCCTATATTGATTTATTTCCCTTCAGGAGCTTCCACCGCACTTAGGATGTGTTACCAAGGTTATGGGTACCCTTTGACACTCTTCCTGGAAGAAGGAGGAGTAGTAACAGTGTGCAAAATTAATACCCAAGAGCCTGAAGATACGTTGGATTTTGATTTCTGCAGCACAAATGTTATTAATAAGATTATTCTTCAATCAGAAGGCCTGCGTGAAGCATTTGCTGAATTAGACATGACCAGTGAGGTCCTACAGATTACCATGTCACCAGAAAAACCTTATTTCAGGTAGCCAAAATCAGTATTATGTTTCTGATAATCTCTTTGCAGGAATTTTTATTGTACTTCTTCTCCAACTAATTAGCTAGCACATATGAACCATGTAGGAGCATAGGACCTAACCACCCTGACCACTGCTTCTGTTGTGTTAATGACTGCTGTCAGGTGTCATGCTGGCAGACTCCGAACAATTAGTAATTTAATTGATGACGAATGTCATTAATTACATAGTTCAATTCATACATCCCCAGAATATCAAGATTTATGATGACTAATGAAAATTTGGGTGCCCTTGCTCTAGAGAAATGGTCTCATATTATACATTCTTTCTTTTGTTTCATTGTAGTGCAGTGTGCAAAAAATGATGGCCCTTTGTATATGCAATTTTCAGCAAATATTTATTGACTACCTAATATGTACTAGACATTTTAAGGAATGACTACATAATATACTGGCATATTACATCAATAAGCTTACAATTTAATTGAAAGAGATGAGGGAGTAAAAAAGTATATAGTAATTTAGTACCAACTTCATAAGTGCTTAGGGCAGTTAGGTGGCACAGTAGATAAAGCACTGGGTCTGGAGTCAGAAAGATCTGAGTTCAGATGTGGCCTGGGACACTAGCCATGTGACCTTGGCTTAACCCTATTTGCCTCAGTTTCCTTATCCCTCAAATGACCTGGAGAAGGAAATGACAAACCACTCCAGTATCTTTGACAAGGAAACCCCAAGTGGGATCACAAAGAATCAAACATGATTGAGCAGGGGAAAAAAAGGGCAGAGATGGGGGGTTGCCATAGAGAACAAGGGTTTGGTTATCATGAAGTAAGGTAGCTGTTCATCAGGGAAGATAAGAAATTTACAATAGGATCCAAAGTAAAAATGATGATAACTACTCTTGCCCTGTTGAACTGGTGGTTCCATATGTAGAACATCTTCAGAATATTGGTTTAGAGAAGAACCAAATGTTTTGATGTACCTTTCCAATTTTAAGCATTATAAAGTAATATGTCAACTCCTTAAAACAAGTTCTCAGATGTGCTTTAGGATAGTTAAAGCTTTTCTCAGCCTTATGCAAGAATGTTCCAGTCTGAAAAAGAATATAGTAATGCTTCAGTTAGCTCAAACTTAACTTATTGGACAGAACTCTCAATTAACTAGTGGCAGAAACTGAAATTCCAAGGCCTTCAGCAGAATTTCCTGAGGAACCCTCCAGCACAGATCCTGGGCTTATCTTCTTCATGCACTGGGGCTTGGCAGGAAATCTCTTCTTGGTAGGGTGCAGAGGTGGGGGAAGTATCAAACAGTTGAGGGATTCGTTCTTCAATTTCCCCTTCCCTAAAATACCTTCTCTTTCTCCTGTCCTTATTCTTTGTTTTTCAGAGTCCATTTTCAAACTCAGTTCCTCCATGAAAACTTCCCTAATTTCTACAGCCCTCATTGACTTGTCTCTCTGAATTCCTATAGTATCTTAGTTTCCATGAAACAGCTGAGCATTCGATTACTATCTTATGGTGTATACTCCAGTTGTTTAATGTGTGCTCATTTTGTGTCTTCTAGCTTATAAGCTGCTTGAGTGCACAGGTCTGTTTTATGTTTATTCCATATTCTCTACATTGCTTAAGCAAATAGGAAGAACTCCATGAATATTTATTTATTGCTTGCTTGTATGGGGACCACCAAGCTATAGAACTTCAAAGTTAAAAAGAGTACTTCAGACTTAGGGAATAGGGTGATTGAAATAATTAATGGTAATGGCACAGTAGCCTTAAGGAAGTGATTAATATATATAAACTCTTGGTGAAAAAAGGAATGGAGTGGTTAGTTTTGAGCTAAGGTCCTTCAATTTATCAGTCTCTCTGTTACATTCTTCAGGGCAGAGACAAGGAAGTTTTCATCGTGTATGTGTTAAGAATACAATAGTGAAGAAATCTCCAGACTTCATTCCTTTTGTAAAGACCCATTGCATTTGGTAATCTTATGTTTTAGGTTATCTACTTTTGGAAATTCAGGAAGCTCACACCTTGACTATCCCAAAGATTCTGATTTGATGGAAGCATTTCATTGTAATCAGACCCAAACTAACAGGTCAGTTTTTAATATGCAACCTGCCATAGCCTATACTATTGGCAATGATGGTAAAAAAAAGTTTTAAGATGTTGCTGGGAGAGTGAGTTTGGGAGGGTGGTTAATTTAATAGAAACTTATTTTGATTTGTAACAAAAAATGTAAATAACTTTTTTAAAGTACATTTTTTTAAATATATATATATATATTTTTAAGTGACTTGCCCAGGGTCACACAGCTAGTAAGTGTTATGTGTCTGAGGCTGGATTTGAACTCAGGTCCTCCTGAATCCAAGGCCAGTGCTCTATCCACTGCGCCACCTAGCTGCCCCTTTAAAGTACATTTTTAAAGACTAAAAATAACTGCCATTTAAAAAAATCTGTTTTGGTATTTTGGCAGCAGTATGTGGGTGAGGTAAAGGTAATAGTTAATATCCAATTAAGTAAATTTCTAAAGGATATTAATATTTTATTAGTTTTGTTTGGTTCTTTATTTGGAGTTAAAAAGCAATTTTGTCATATTCAAATGAGTAAATAGTATTTTTCTTATTTTTTCTGCAGATACAAGATTTCTTTGCTGAAACCATCTACAAAAGCTTTAGCTCTGTCTTGTAAGGTGTCTATTCGCACTGATAACCGGGGATTCCTCTCTTTACAGTATATGATTAAGAATGAAGATGGACAGATATGTTTTGTGGAGTATTATTGTTGCCCTGATGAGGACGTTAGTGATTCAGAGCCCTGAGGAATAATGTCTGGCCATCTTCTTTCTCACACACAGGATAGGCTGTGTTCTTATTCTCCTTTGTCCAGTACTGCTGGTAATTTATTGTGGGATTTTCCCAAGGACAAGACAAGAATTTAGCACTGGGAAATTGATAACCAGTGGCAGAGCAGTGCACCTTCTAGATACATTATTTTTCCACCAAGATATGTTTTCAAATAGCTATCAATATTCTGTTACTCTTCTGAATGTTACCTATTTAAGTTCATGGGAGTATAAATAATAATAAATTGATGAATAAGTTGTGAACATTGACTTTTCAAAATTGGAACATTTGGAAAATACAGAATCTGAAGGGTAAATATTACCACTTCTGTGAGTTGACTATTGAAATTAGCAAATTCATGTTTATGACAAGCCCATTCGTCCAAGATTAATTTGAATTGGATAAAATACTTTTTAAGGGATGCTCTACATATTTCAAAATAATATAAATTAATGAGGCACTTGTTTACAACACTTTGTCATGTATGGAACTGCAATATCTGTGGGGGTTGAGAATGAGAATTAGGGGGAAAAAAGGTCTATAAAAATGCAATGAACAAGCCAGAATGTTATTTTTTTAAAATACCATTATACTAAAGAAGAAAAAAATTCAGCAAAACTAACCAGCATATTGAAAAGGAGACATATGTAGCACTCTATACCCATGTACCCCACCTCTGCAGAGATGCAGGAGAAGGTATTTTCATATTGTATTTGGAGCCAATCTCAGTCATTACAATTAGCAGTGTTCGGTTTCACTTGTTTTGCTACTGTCGTACAACATGAATTTAAGACTCATGACTTTTTTCATAATATCCTAACTTCCCAGTTCAGTTTAAAAATATTCATTGAGTGCCTCTCATGTGCTTAGCATTGTCTCTACCTAAACCAAGGTGAAAAAAACAAAACGCATGCCAGCTTCTGTAATTTTCTGGGAGAGGTAGCATGGTACAACAGAAAGAGTGCTGGATTTGGAGGTAGGAGACTTGGGTTTGAATCCAGAGCCTCAGCTACTGAGCTGTGACCCAAGTCAAGTCCTTTCCATTTTCAGAGCCTGTTTCCTCATCTGTAAAATGGGGTGAAAAAATATTTGTACTTTTTCTCCCAACATGGGTTTTGAGAAAAACTCATTACAAACTTTAGTTATACCCCAGAATCTTTATTCACTAAATATTTTTGTCATAGCTATTTTATATCTTAAATAAAATAATATGAAACTAAATTTATATGACTAGTTTTTATAGAAAATAAATAAAACCAGAGAGGTTGCCTTCTGTGATGTCTGTATAAAATACAGCATATGCTGAGGTGAATGAATGGGTTTAATATTGTTGAGCTGTATTTTTGATGAACAAAATACTAAGAACAGAACAAAAAAAAAAGATTCATTTCCCAATTGACAAATGGTCAAAGGACATATAAACAGCCAGTTTTCAGAAGAAGAAATCAAAGCTATGTGTAGTCACATGAAAAAAAATGCTCCAAATCACTATTGATTAAAATAATTCTGAGGTGCCACCTCACACCTATCAGAAATGACAAATGCTGGAGGGGATGAGGGAAAATAAGTACGCTAATGAACTGTTAGTGGAGTAGTGAGCTGATTCAAACGTTCTGGAGAATAATTTGGAACTATGCTCAAGGGGCTATAGAATTGCACATGCCTTTTGACCTAGCAATGTCACTAGTGGGTCTGTATCCCAAAGAGATCAAAGGAAAAGGAGGGGGACCTATATATACAAGGATGTTTGAGGCATCTCTTTGTGGTAGCAAGGAGTTGGAAATTGAGGGAGTACTCATCGTTTGGGAAATGGCTGAACAAGTTGTTGTGTGCTTGTGGTGTTCTGCTGTGGGAAGTGACGGTGGTTCCAGAAGGGCGTGACAGAACCTATGTGGGCTGATAAAGAGTGAGGTAGGAATAACCAAGAGATTGTTGTGTATGGTGACAGCGATATTGTGGTGGTGATCAGCTGTGAAGGATTTGGCTATTCTGATCCAAGAGAGTTCCAGGAGACTCATGATTATGGGATCCTACCTACCTCTAGAGAGAAAACTGGTAAACTTGAAGTGTAGTTTTCTCACTTTATTTTCTTGGGTTTTTTTTTTAATGTAGCTGATAAGGAAATATGTTTCATGATTTCACACTTACAGTTGATGTGTTGCCTTCTTGTGGGGGAGGAATGGGAGAGAATTTGGAGCTCAAGGTTTGCAAAAAATGTTGAAAACAAATAACTGGATTTTTAAAAAAAGACTTAACCTTTAAAAGAGGTTTGTTAGGCCAATTTCTGCATAATTTAAAAACTTTACTCTCGTTCATTTCTTTTTAAAAAATATTTTGTTTTAATCAGCCAAGATCCATTTTCTTATTCTCCTACTCCAACCCTCCCTTCCTCCCTCACAATTGGAAAACACAGTTTTTTAAAATTACAAACATAGTTAATCAAAACCAGTTTGACAGGTATGCTGTTTATGCTTTCATCCAAATCAGAGAAGTATTTTTTGAAGCTTTCTTGAGTGTGTTATTCTAAGATCTCAGGGACAGGCTGCAGACCTGCAAACTTTCAGTGCACCCAAGCTCTGCAAATCCTTGATCCCAGTGTGGGTCTGTGCAAAAATAGACTTCTGCTGGACCCCACTCCTATCGTGTGGCTGGAAGCTCTGTAGGCTCAAAGTGACAAAATTAGTCTTAAATTCCTGCCTTGATTATTCCTTTATGGGCTTCAGTAGGAGCTGGGAATGAGACCCTGTTGTAGGCTTAGGGTCTGAGTTGCACTACGACTGCAGCTGGCTGCTGAACTTCCTTCTTTCTCTATACACAGCTCAGGGCCTCGGGCCTCTTCTCCATCAGCCCTTCATCTGTGACCAGGAACTGGGTAGTGGGTGATAAAACTGCTAGGTCATACCTATCCCTGTTGCAGTGCCCCAGTGTGGGTCAGGTGGAGCTAGGAGATGGGTTGGAACTTCTTCTTGCCCTGGAGCATAGCTCTCCTCATCACTGGAATACCTGGAGGCTGCTCCCACAGTGTCCAAAGACTACCTGTCTCCCTATGTGGACCTGAGCTGCACAAATGTCTCACTGTGACTTTTTCTGGATTTCCCCATCAGGATTTAGTCTGCCACATTTTGTAGATCCGTTTGTAGTAGTTTGTGGCCTGGAGCTCAGTCCCATTGCTTCCTACCCCTCGATCATTTTGGCTCTGCTGCCATTAATTTCCATGAATTGGCAGTTCTGATGAATTTTCATGATTTTTCTCTGAAAGATAATGTGGAACAGTAGCCAAAATAGCACTGTATTTAGAAAACTTGAGTTCAGATGGCAGCTCTGCCAGCTCTATGACCTTGGGCAAGTCACTTAATATGTCAAAGTGTCAATGATTCAGTGACTTTGGCCCTTATTCCTCTCACTGAACACTACATCTCCTGACTCCCAAGTGTTTTCATTAGCATTCAGACAGGGCCTGGAACGTGGGCAGCTAGGTGGCGCAGGAGTCAGGAAGACCTGAGTTCAAATCTGGCCTCAAGACACTAGCTGTGTAACCCTGGGCAAGTTACTTAACTCCTGTTTGCCTCAGTTCATCTGTAAAATGGGGACACACTAGAGAAGGAAATGGCAAACCACCCTAGTATCTTTACCTCTAGAGTCACGTTGGGTGAGACACAACTGACCAACAAGGGCCTGCAATGTTCTCCATCTCAGCCTCATGTTCTTCCCTAGCTTCCTTCAAGTCTCAGCTGAAGTCTCTTACCTTCTGGGGAAGAAGCCTTTCCCAGTCTTCCTTAAATCTCAGTGCTTCCCCTCTGAGACTATACCCAGTTTATCCTGGATATATATTGTTCATACATAATTGTCTTCATTAGAAATGTCAGCTCTTTCAGGATAGGGACAGCCTTTTGTCCTAATGCTAGCTGATTGACTGAGTAACTTAACTGTCATACAGGGGAAGGGAGAGGGGGGAGATTGGGAAGATAGAAGGTGCTGCATAGGAAGTAAGCATTACAGACTAGAGTGGGGACAGTCCATTCAAACTTCCCAAAGTAGAATGTAAACTGTTTCATTTTTGTCTTCATATCCATAGTCGTTTGTTAATGCTGTAAATGCCTGTCAAAGTGAACTGAAATCTATGCATTATTTTGTTAATAGATCATCAAAACAATAAGATTGTGGGGAAAAAATGCTAAGAGAAACTAAGGCCAAAAGAAAAAAGGAGTTTTATGTTGAGAAATTTAATAAGATCACATCAAAGAAAAAAGTGACAATTCAAGATTGCCACTTTCTTTTCCTAGGCTTTTTTTTTTTTAAGAAAAAGGCAATGACTATTTTCTAGAAAAAGAGTTGGATGAGACATTACTAAGCCAAGCTAATTTTATCTGTTTGGTGAAGTTTTTAAGTTGGGGCAGAGGCTTTATACTTTATTCCAAAGTGAAGCTATTTTATTTTATGATCTGCAAATAAGTCATAACATTATAAAATGTCTCCTTAACGGTATACACAAATATTCACAATAAACACCTCAGATATATACCAACAACAAAAAGCACAACAGAAGAAACAAAAGAAGTGCCCAGGAAAAATAATCAGAACTTCACATAAGAAAGGTACATATAAAAGCCCAAGAATTTGCTTCATCAGGGTTATAGATCAGGCAGGTAAGTGTCTAACAGGCATTTTACCAGTGACGTTCTTTGCTGCTTTGGGGAAAAGATTCTCCAGGAGGGAAAAAAAGATACCAATGACATACTTTTAAATCCAGTCTGCATTATTTTTTCCATCACCTAAGTCTAGACAATCTACAAAACAATACATCACAATTATTCTGCAAAGCATGAGACCCACAGCTTATCAACAAAATTTGATTTATTTCTGTCTGTCTTGTCTATTTTCTTTTTCAATGATACCCGAAGACCTAGAGAAAAGGAAGAAATAATTAGTGCATTTATTTTGCTATTGCTGTCTATCCCTTTAGTCATAAGCCCCACTTCTTTCTTCCCAACAATTAATAAATATTTGCTTGACTATATCAGGAGGAATTTCATCATACCAGCATTAAAATGAACAGCCAGAGACATGATCTATTAATTACCAGAGCCAAAGATTTTTTTTTAACAGACCATATAAATATAAGAATCTTTGTCTTTTCTCTACAAAGGAGAGGGTTCCAGAATAGTGAGTCTTGTACTTGCCATTGATTCAAATGAGAAACACAGCGCCTAACTCACTTGCATTATTTACATTTTTCTAAAGTTTTATGGGAGGAGGAAGTGATTTGCCCATAAGTGGTTGTTGAATAAATGGTTTTCAAAAGTAATCTTTATTTCCAGAAGCAGAGAGATAGGAAACCAGTATGGCCAAACAAAAAAAACCAAAGTGATGAAAATAAAATATAATACTATAATTATAAGAATTATTATATAAAATAAGTCCATTTTCTCACTTGTGGTAACCCTTGGAAGCCCAACAACCAGCTAAATATTCTTTATTCACCTCAGTGTAATGAGCTGAGCCACTAAGGCTTGAACAGTGATTTTCATGCTTATATTCCGGTCAAATTATGTGAACAATGTGAGGTCTATGTACACATCCTAGTTAAAACTTTGTTAATTAGCACCCATCCTGGAGTATGTTAGTATGCCAAGTGTTTTGCCATCTATAGTGATTCCATAACAAGTCTGTGACATGTTACAGACTCCATTTGGTATGTGCTCAGGGTTACAGAGCCGAGCAATAGTTTCCTACGAGGGATGAATCAGTCTAACAAGAGGCAAGCCAATGATTTATACCCCTTCCACCACTTGGTGACAGTATCCTCTTCTGAGAAGCCTTTCATAGTTTTAGAATGAGATTACTGCTAACATGTCATCATTTATCTACAGCTAGCATGACAGAGATTATCTTTTCATACGATGATTATAAGTGTTCCACAAGACTGTTAAGCTTTAGCTCACTTTGTAAGATAATAAATAAGCAGTATACCCCTATAGCCAACTTATTTTCTTTTAATAGCTACCAGTCTGATTCTCCTTGTTAATGCTCCAAAGGTGCAACTATGACATGGAGATAGAATGAGGCCTTAGAGAAAATAAAAATAATGAATCATAAAGATAATTAAGTAGGATGATGATCAGATAAAATTGTTTGTAAGTGAGATAGCCTCTGTTCATAAAGATTTAATTAATGCTGCTTTGTCAGAACCTGGGAATATGGCCAAAATTAAAAAAAAAAACCCAAAAACTATAACACCCCTTGCCAAACAAAATAAAAAACATCTTAAATACTTTTAACTTGAGAATGAGACATTCTTATTTTAAAATTCAATCATATAGTGCCTGTAATTTGATCCTGAATATAATTCTAGGGTCTTATTTACCAAAATTTAAAATTATTGTTTATCTTCACAATAAAGCTGAGGTTCTTAACATTTTGGGAGAATCGACCTCTTTGGCAGTTGGTCTCAAATAGTTTTTAAATAATTGAAGGGAATGTTAAATTTCAGTTAGAAATTAGTGACAATAAAGATGTGATTTTTTTATTTCTTCACTCAAGTACATGAATCCCCTGAAATCACCCCTACAATAAAGAGTCTGGCTCTTTGATGAATTTCATAAAGTGAATATAAAGACCACTGGGTCTGGGAAGACCTCCGAAGATCATATATCCATTTCTTTCCCCTGTAAGATTTGTGCTCTTCCATAACAGGTGTGAGCTGGAACCAGCCTCTGCTCCCAGGAGACAATTATTAAATTTTCAGTATCAGCCTTCACATTTAAGAAGTTAACATGTTACAATTGAGGGTGTGATGTATTGTTTTGTAGATTGTCTAGACTTAAGTGATGGAAAAAATAATGCAGATTGGATTTAAAAGTATGTCATTGGTATCTTTTTTTCCCTCCTGGAGAGCCAGTTGTTAAGCATTTATCAGCACACTCCTGCCTATATCTGTAATGATCTAATTCACCTTCACCTATCAGTATGCTACCTTTCTTTCTAGGTCCAGCTCAAATTCTACCTTCTTAATAAACCTTCCCTATCTCACTAAGACCAGGACAAACAACAAGACAAAAGTGATTCTCTTTCTCTTTCCCTCAAAACTGATAGCCCTTTATTTTTACCTCCTTTGTACTATGTATCATAAACTGCCTCTGTTATGGTTATGTGTAATATTCTCTTCTTTCCCCTACAGGGCCATAAGCTTCAGGAGGGTAGAGACCATGTGATTCACTATTATTACCATTTCTTCCCTCCCTCTGTCCCTCACACCCAACTCACTACATCTAGTGTGGTGCCTTGATACAATAGTACTCAATACAAGTCTGTTAAATGGATGAAAACCAACCAAATCAGATTTGTATCTATCCCAGTCTTAAAGATCGCTAGGACAGTCTAGGATATCTTTCTATTGGCAACTTTTCCCAGGGAGCCAAAGTATTCTGGAAGAACTGCTTGATAAACTAGATTATTCAACTGCAAGTTAAAAACAACAACAATAACCCATTTCTGCTTGAAAGGATTGTAGACCCCTGACTTTATTAGGTAAATATTAACTTTTTAATTTTCCTGAAAAAAATGCACTTTTTATATCAAAGAAGTAATGTGATATAAAATGAGGTGGGGGTGAAAAGTCAGATGACCTCTCATAAATGTAACAATAATAATATCATAGTAATAATAGTTTATGAACAATTCCAAATGCAAGAAAATAAGAGCAAGTGCAAGCAAGGTCGGGCCCATCCCTCCCCGCTTCAACTTCATTTCACCTGCAAATTTGACAGGCGTGCCATTTATGCCTTCAAATAAGAGAGAATTCAATTCAACAAACCTTCACTAAGGGCATACAATATACATGGCATGGCACTTGATACTGTGATACAAAAACAAAACAGTTCCTGACCTCAAGAAGACTACTGTCTGTTGGGAGTATGTAACATGTACAAAGGTGAATAACTATAAAGTACATATACGTACAAAATAGTTTTAAGAGGGGGAAACCATTAGCAACTGGAATCTTCAAGAAGACCTCATGTAGAAAGTAGTACCTGAACTGTGCCATGAAGGAAAATACAGATTCTAAAAGGCAGAGGTAAGAAGAGAGTACATTCCAGACACAGGAGGCCACTCGTATGCATAGTCATGAAGATAGGAGATAGCATACTGTGTGTAAGGAACAGCTAGTAGAAAAATTTAATTGGAATTAAGGGAATTAATATGAAATAAAAAGGGGAAAGAGATGGGGAAGACATAGTGCATCGTTGTTCAGTAATGTCCAACTCTTTGTGACCCCGTTTGGGGTTTTCTTGACAGAGATGCTGCAGTGGTTTGCCATTTCCCTCTCCACCTCATTTTACAGATGAAGAAACTGGGGCAAACAGGGTGACTTGCCCAGGGTCACACAGCTAAATAAATGTCTGCGGCCAGATAACTCAGGTCAGTCCGGGCCTGGCACTCTATCAACTGTGCCACCTAGCTGCTCTATGGTGTAGATATGTAGAGGGCTTTAAATGTTGGACTGATTTTTCGGGATTATATCCTTGAGACAATATGGAGTCATTGGAGGTTTTTGAGTAAGTTAGTGGCATGTTTAGATTTGCATTTTAGGAATATCGATTTTGTAGCTATGTGGAAAGATGGACTAGAAAGTGGAGACTGGAAGCAGGAAAACCAATTGGGAGGCTTTTGTAATTGTCCAGGCGAGAGGTGATCAGGACCTGAATTAGGATAATGGTCTCGTAAGTGGGGAGAATGGGACAGATTGGAAAGGTTTTGTCAAGGTAGAAACAAGTCCTATTTGACTGAAAAAAAATTGTTCTCTGCCCTTCAGAGAAATAGGAAGAGTGTGGAGGAGGACAGGCTTAGGGAGAAATATAACATGCTCTTCTCTAGTTCTGATGATTTCTGAAATATGGTAGAGGATGAGACAGGTGCCACAGGAGGTAATTAATCTAGGCCTAGAAACTTGAACCCATTGAAGGCAGGTGGTTGCTCCTTTATCTTCTCTCCAGCCTCTCCTTGAAGGCCTCAAGTGAAGAAGTAGGAGTCTCATAAGTCATCTCATACTATTTTCAGAAAGCTTTCACTGTTGGAAATTCTTCCTCAAGTTGAACTCAAATTTGTCCCCTCAGTAACTTCTACCCTTGATACTAGCTCTAAAACCAAATAGGATAAGTCTGATCTCTCTTCCATGTGACAGAATTTCAAGTTCTTGGAAATAGTTATCATCTGTCTCCTAACTTTTCCTCTTTTTTCAGCTAAACATCCCTGCTTTCCTCAACTGATCTTATGTGACAGATCTTGGATTCACCTCATCAGCCTAATTGCCCTCCTTGGGACAGGCTCCAGTATGTCAGTGAACCTCTTAAAATTCAATACATAGAACTGAAAACAATTATCTATATATAGTCTGACCATGGAGAATGAAACAAAACTAATATAATCCCCCTTTTTGGACCCTCTGTTTCTATTAAGACACAAACTGAGCCTACATCTCAGGTTGCTTTAGGTTTTTGGTTTTTGGTTTGGGGCTTTGTTTTGTTTGCAATTACAACACAGTTTTTTTTTCCAAAAGCACTGTTATCAAGCCATGCCTCTCCCATCCTGTATTTTTTTTTTACTGTTGATTATTTATCCCAATAGGACTTTCATCTTATTAAAACTCAGCCCTTATTCCAGTGTGTTACTGAGAGCATTTTGGGTTCTGACTCTGTCATCTAGTGATTCACCTATCACCTTCTCAGCTTCAGCTCATCTGAAAGTTTGATAATCAGGCATGTTTTCATCCAGATAATTTATTAAAATTTTGAAAAGCACAAAGCCAGGGAGTGAGCTTTATAGTATTATCACTAAAGACTTCCACATTGACATCAATACATTAATCAGTATTTTGGGGATGTAATCAACTCATTAAAAATCTCC